AGCAGGTGATGGGAGGATTGGTCGTGGGATGGTGGTGGTGTGTAGTAGTATTGGGGGGGGGGGCAGCGGAGCATTGCTCTCTTTCTTCAGTGTTGTTGCAGTTGCAGTTGTGCATTCGCACACACACACACAATCACACGATCACACACACACACACACATGCACACATACTTTCACACTTACACACTCAATCACACACACATACAATCACACAATCACACGCACACACATACACAGCTGATGGACACGCGGAAGAGGGAAGCAATGTCGGCGCGGCAGCAGCAGCACCAGCACGAACGCACCCTCCTCGACCAGGAATCGTTCAACTGGAGCAAGACCCTCACTTGATGATATGACGCACGGATGCATGGATGATGATGGTGGTGGTGGTGGTGGTGATGTCGTGATGGCCGTGACAACAATGGTATGATGACGGATGCGTGGGTGCATGGATGGATAATGGTGGTGGTGGTGATGATATTGAAGCCCGCCACCACCGCGTCTGTACACATGTACACGAGGAATCAACGTGTCGTGACGTGTCCTACGCCTTCGACCATGCCCTGTCTGATGTGAATCGTACTCTTCCCTCCCATTCCCCTTCCTCTTCCGTATCCTGTGTTGTCTTGCCTCCTCAAAACACACACGTCAACACAGAAATGCTGTCTCGGTGTGCCTGCTGGCTTGCTTGCCTCGGTGTGTGTCGCATAGTTATGTATTATGAGCGTGTTCACATGCCACACGACAAGCACACTATTCGTGCGTCTGCCTCCCTTCCCCCTTCCTCTGTCTTCTTTCCTGTCCTGCTTTCGCATTAGTAATCGCTCCAATCCTTGATCCCCCCTCTCATCAGCAGCCCTCGCCTAACAAGTCCGAGCAACGGAGCACAACAGTGTTCACAATAAGAAGGAACACACGCACGCACACACACACACACACACACACACTCGTGCGTCGTTATTTGTTTGTTTGCTGGAGCTGTTTGGCGGCCTGCTGCTTGGCCATGCACTCCTTCAGCTCCCGCACTTTGCCCTGGCACTTGCGCCAGTCCCGATTGCTCTCCTCCATGCAATCCTGCATGCATGTGTGTATGTGTGTGTGTGTGCGATTCAGAGGTGAGGAGGCCGGAACAGGGACACGGCAAGACGAAGGGCAGTGGGTGAGAAAGGAGATGGCGACCGCAGTGACAGTGACACAGGGACGCACCAGCAGAGCAAAGTGCTCCTGCTTGCAGCCAGACTTCTCGACGAGAACGTCATATGGGTCTTCCTCTTCCTCCTCTTCGTCATCGTCATCTCGCGGCTCTGAGCAACGAAAGGACATCCATTCAACAACACAACACAGTCACCAACAAGCGCACAAGTAGGTGTGAGAGTGACACACACACACACACACACACACACACACACACACACACACACACACACACACACACACACACACACACACACACTTGCGCACCTTTGCGCACGGGGCGCCCGTGTCCTGGCCGTGGTGCTGACATGGCTGCTCTGTGCAACAACAACGATGACACACACACATACACACACACATACACACACACCAACAAGCCACAGCGCTGGTGTGAGCCACCTCCACTCTCGTGTCACATCACAAGGTCACCTTCACCCCCCCCCCCCCCCCCCCTTTGCAACAGCCAGCAACGCACCTTGCTCGGCGTCTTGATTTCGTTGTGTGTGTGTTGTTGCGCTTTCTCGTTTTGTTTGTTTGCATTTCTTCTCTCTCTTCTTCTCAACGAACAATCAGACGACGGAGCAGCAGAGCGACCTGCCTGTGTTGATGTTGTTGTGACAGGCAGGACGTTGACGTTGATACCAGCAGCCCAAGTGACAGAGATCTCTCCATCGTTTGCATCTTGTTGGCTCGTTTGGCTCCACAGAGCTCCTTCTTTCTGTTCATAAAGGTGGCTGCTGTGGACACAGACACACAGACACGCAGACTGACACACGCACAGAGACACACACGGTTTCCCGCGCTGACATCATCCTCGAGTCTCTCGCAAGCACGAAGCAACCAAGCAACGAAGCAGCGTGCCTGTCTGCCTTTCTGTCTCGGCCGAGGCCCCTTTTCTGACAACTGCCCAGCCGTCGTGTGGATGGGTGGGCCTTTGAGACCTCTTCGTTCGCTCGCCTCCTCCGTGCTCGCATAGCGAGCGTTCGCTTGGCCAGGCAATTTCGTGTGTCCGCCTTTCTTCGGGAGTCGAGGTGGTGTGATTGATCGCTGCACACTCAAGCGTGCGAGTGAGCAAGGCGATCCAGCAAGAAGATACAGCAGCAGCAGCAGCACCATCCGTGCGCCAGACAGCAGACATCAGATCAGCAGGGTCGGCATAGCAGCATACCTCCTGTGTTCATACCCACCTTACATTTTGACACATCTTTCCTGGTTCATCATGGACCTCAACAGCCGCGTGAGTGCCCCCTGCTTGCACATGCGTGTGTCTGTGCGTGCGTGCGTGTGTGTGTGTGTGTGTCTGTCTGTCTGTCTGTCTGTCTGTCTGTCTGTCTGTCTTTGTGTGGGCATGTGCGTGAGTATGTGTCTGTCTGTGTGTCTTGTGTCGATCTGTCTGTCTGCGCGGCAACCCTCTTCCCTTTGCATACACACACACACACTCATCCGTCCTGCCCCACCACCTCGCCCCCTTACTTCGCCCCGCGTTCTTCCCAACTCCCCCAACTTCCCCCATCTCCAGCACGGGTCGGCGCAGGTGTCGCCGACAGAGTCGCTCGACAACCAGCGGCACCACCTGCCCCGCTCCGAACATGGCAGCCGCACATCCAGCCGCGCAAGCGAAACAACACAACAGCAACAGCAGCAACAACAACAACAATTACAGCAACAGCAACACCACCAACAACAGCAGCAGCCGATACAGCAGCCGCATCAACGCGAGCAGCAGCAAGACGCTGACGACACATCCATCTCCATCCACCCGGATATTAGCGGGTACACGGTCGATGTGGAGAAGCTCCTGGGCCATGGCGCGTTCGCGGACGTCTACCAAGGTGTGTGAATGGATGTGTGTGTGTGTGTGTGTGTGTGTGTGTGTGTGTGTGTGTGTGTGTGTGTGTGTGTGTGTGTGTGTGTGTGTGTGTGTGTGTGTGTGTGTGTGTGTGTGTGTGCATCTGTCTATGGCGCGCATCCAAATCCGTCATGCTCACAACTACTCACCCCACTCACCCTCTTCATCATCACCGACGCTCGACCGCAGGTCACAGCGCGGAGAGCAACTCGCTTGTTGCGGTGAAGGTGATGCCGCTGACGACGGCGGCAAAGGAGCGGCGGTACTTTACGGAGCTCGCCATCACCGAGCACGTGCAGGACCTCTGCCCGGGCGTCGTCCAGCTCCTCGACCACAGGGAACGCGACGTACGAACTGTGTGTGTGTGTGTGTGTGTGTGTGTGTGTGTGTGTGTGTGTGTGTGTGTGTGTGTGTGTGTGTGTGTGTGTGTGTGTGTGTGTCTGTGTCTGTGTGTCTGTGTGTCTGTGTGTGTCTGTGTCTGTGTGTCTGTGTGTGTGTGTCTGTCTGTGTCTGTGTGTGTCTCCCACCCTCTTACCCCTCACTGCCTTCTTGCTCACGCACCACCACCCATTCCACCCCTCACACCCACCCCTCACACCCACCACTCACCACCACCACCCCCTTTACAGCGTGTCGGGTATCTCGTGTTCCGGCTGTGCGAGAAGCGGGACATCTACCACATGCTGCGCCCGTCAGACCGCCACCACCTCAGCGGCGGTCTCCAGCCGGCGCAGATCCTGCCCTGCTTTGTCCAGCTCGTCCACGCCGTTCGCTCCCTCCACGCCCGCGGCGTCGCCCACCTCGACATCAAGCCTGAGGTGCGGTGTGGTGTGTTGGGTTAGTGGGTTGGTGGGTTGGTGGGTTGATGTGTGAGTTTTGTCTGTGTGCCTGTGTGCCAGACAGGTTGTTTGTGAGCTGTTTGCTCGTGTATTGCAATGCGTTTCCATACGCCTCACTACCTTGGTCGCCACCACCACCACCACCACCACCACCACTGCCAGAACATCCTTGTGACGGCTGCTGATCAGATTGTGCTGTGTGACTTTGGCCTGAGCGTCATGCTCGCTGATGGGCCCGCGTACGGCGCCCGCGGCTCTCTCACGTCCGTAACACGCACGCTCGCGCTTGCTGCTGCTGTTGTTGTTCGGGGGATGCGTGTGTGTGTGTGTGTGTGTGTGTGTGTGTGTGTGTGTGTGTGTGTGTGTGTGTCTGTCTGTCTGTCTGTCTGTCTGTGTGTATGTATGTGTGTCTGTCTGTCTGTCTGTCTGTCTGTGTCTGTCTGTGTGTCTGTGTGTGTGTCTGTGTGTGTGTCTGTGTGTGTGACTCCGTCTGTGCCTGTCTCTCATCCCCACTCTCTCCCTATGCTCTGTTTCTCCCTCGTTCAACTCCACCCACCTCCATGCATCGTCCGCTCATCTTCATCCCCTCTCCCATCTCCATCACCAGGTATGCGTCGCCGGAGAATGTACTGTGTTATTACCGCCGCCAGCGTGGGCTGTCCACCAGCGGATATGATGGCGCAAAGGCGGACGTGTGGTCGTGTGGCGTTGTGCTGTTCACTTTCCTCTACGGCTGCACCCCGTGGGATGTTGCGTACGAGCCCGAGAGCCACGAGTACCGCGCGTATGTTGCAGCCGACGGCCACCCGGCAGCCCGCCCCTGGAACAACATGTCCTCCGCCTTCCGCACCCTCTTCCACGGGTGAGCGAGTGCATTGTGTGTGCACGTGCGTGTGAATGGATTGTGTGTGTGTGTGTGTGTGTGTGTGTATGTGTGTGTGTGTGTGTGTCTGTGCGTGTAAGTATGTGCCATGTGTGTGTGTGTCTGTGTGTGTAATTGTGTGTGTGTGTGTCTGTGCGTGTAAGTATGTGCCATGTGTGTGTGTGTGTGTCTGTGTGTGTGTGTGTTTGCAACTGCGATGCCACCATTTTCGACCTGCGTATCACCCCCTGCTGAC